ATAGGATAGTGAACTTTATCTTATACCAGTTGTGTAATGTAGGCTGGCATTAAATCCATATTAAAATCAAACCAAAGATGAAGAATTGTCTAAAGAAGGAAAGTTGTCTTTATGCCTACCAAGTGGCTGGCTTATAGCTAACTGAGTTTTTGAACCGATAACTTTTATACCTTTCTGCTCTTAATGGCACCAATTCCACAGGTTGTGCAACGGAGTAAGAAACAAGTGAGAAACAAGAACTAGCATAAATAGTAAATCAGATGATCACCAGATAGGCAGTAGTATTTCTGTGAAATATTTATATGCTGCAGCAGAATGAGTATCATTGCGATACTGTGATAAAATCCAATTTTTCTTCTGTGTTAGTAGCAGAAGAAGGCAATCTAACATTTTGGAAGAAATGTTGTACTACCAAACACTGTAAAGACCTTGCTAGGAATACTTTGGTAAAATATTGGTATCGAGGCAAGTAGAGGAATGCAAAGCAAGAGAACTGGGCAGACACTGTTGCAGCCTTTCTCAGCATACAGCTCTCTAGATGCATTCGACTGCAATTTATATAATCCTCCAAGTCTCCCATTGGAAGTGAAGGCAGAGATCGTTGCCTTACAGCTGAACACAGATTTCAGAAATCCAAACAGAATACCTGAAAGGTAAACAAACTCCTACAGGTCTACTCTGTGCTCACTTTTTGAGTGCTCTTCAACTTGGGGTGGGAGGAGGAGAAAAGAATTTCCAGAATAAATAGACGCACTACCACTAAGTGGCGTTGAAAATGAAAGCAGGCATGTGTTGTACATTGGATCTGCTTTCCAGATGTTGAACTACTATTATCCTTTGTTGCATGCTATGTTGACTAAGCCTGATAGGAATTGCAGTCTAACAACATCTGAAGGCTTCACACTACCCAAGATTTCTGGTAGCCGAGACTTGTTTTTTGCTCTAACCTCAAGATTAGGGTGCAAGAACTTCTTAAATACTTAATGTACTGTGCTTTGGCCCTTCTTCAAAACAAGCTTCCTTTTTCTGAACTAAACATATATGTGGCCATCTTCCACATGAGGAAGCTTACCAAGATCCTGCTGAGACATGGCTGATGGTTTGCTTTGACCTGCAGACCCATTCTGCTGATGGAGTCCTATTTATGATACAGTCCAATGCGTATTGAGTCAACAAGTAGATCTCATGGTGTTTGGTGGGTCTCATTCCCAACTAAGTGCTCCTAGGATTGCAGCTTGAAGCAGTGCCAAAGCTGCTGGGGTTGCTCCTGGTGTATTGAGTATGCATGTTAGGTATCAAAACAGTGACATCCACTGATAGTTGGAAGATTTTATGAGGGACCTCTTTCAATCTTTTGCTATCAGGATGTCATGCAAGAATAAAATGCATAGCAGCAGCATATCGGTATCAATCCAACATTCCACATCCTGGTGATCCTTCAATATGTTGGACTTACCTCCAGTCATCCCAAGCCATTGAGAGTACCAGAATGGGGAAAACTGCCTTAAATAGTAGAAATAATACTAGAGTAACTATTTTAAGTGCCTTCCAAGGGGGAAATGCAAAATAGTCCTCCTAGGGTGCAATCAGAAATGAGACCTGCACCTCCCAGCATTCCCCAGTCAGGCATACTAGCAACTATCATTTCTGAGGTATTTCTGTGTAGGTCTTTTAATTGAATTGCAGCTTCTACAGTCTCAGCTAATCAGTGACTCTTTTCTGTTCCCTGTTGTCTGATAATTCCCTCACTCTCCACCCCCACAGCTCCAAGCAATTTCCAGTGCATCTTCTTTGCCCAGCGAAGTCTTTCTGCTTGAGAAGTGCATGTAGGTCTTCTCTGTCCTTTACTTGAAATGGGAATTGCTGACAAGCCGAAAGGATCTGCAACATCGTGTTCTTCAGAATCAAATACTTCCATGACTGGCTAGAAATTCGTTTTCAGAAACATCTGTCCCCCATACTATATGTTACATGCATTGACACAATTTTCTTGGAAAAGAAGCTGCTGCACAGGACCATTTGGAATGAATGGCAAGAAGAAATGTTTTGCCACTTCTGCAGTCACCGTTCACAGTGACCGCTGCCCCTTCCCCATGCTCATGCCATTCCAGACTTAGATTAAGCACCATAACATGTAGTCAGCTCTTCCCATCGTGGAGCTTCTCTTCAAAAAAAAAAAAAAAAAAAAAAAAGCCACCAGGGATTTGTCACATGCACTCGCATGTAGCATTCACTTTGTTTTGCATCCATGAGTTATTAATCCAGTATGATGTATCTTGATAGACTGTGACCTTTCTGTGTTCAGGCAATTATCTTTCAACCTGAGATTCTTGGAACAGAAGGTAGCAGGAACTGAACCTGTTCCCTGGTTTACCATGCCTGTACGCATAAATATTGAATTAATTATCAGTAGCTGGCATACCTAGCTATACAGTACAGTTATATTTGGAAGTAAGCCCCGCTGTTCCATGGGACTTTTCTGTGTAAGAGTGCCTTGTTTAATTTAGCATTTCACTTAGCTTTTTAAAAACATTGAATTCCATAAATGTATTCTCATTAGTATAGCCTATGCTGAGAGATCATGAAAATTGTAGGCCAAGATACCTAGCCAAAATTTCCCCATGTTCATTAGAGAAGCATATTAAGGATATGAATCATTTAGCTTACTGATGCTATGTATGGCATTTTTTTTTTTTTTTTGAGATGAGGCCTGATCTAAACCAACTGAAGTCAATGGCTATGTTTGTACTATGTTTGCGGAGCTTTGAGTCAAACCCAGACATGATCAGCTGGACTGCTTTTTCTAGCATTTCTAAACACAGAAGTACAAAGATGTGCTTAGAATGTTTAAAAGTTCAGATGTAGCTCGTAAAGTTGTACTAGTCCCTAGAGATCCATTTTTCTATCAGCTATTAAAACACCGTTGTGTATTTTTAGACATCAATACTTTTCCATTTGAGATGGATGCTGTTGAACTAAACTGAAGTTTTAAAGCAAGGCAAATAAAGCCGCAATTTTTGTAGAGTTCAATATTCGTGGTAGCATTTGATTGTCACACCTTGTAAATCTGATCATTTTATTGCTGTGTACAAAGAAGCCTGTGATGTAGTTCTATATTGATCAGTGACGCAGCACTGACTTGCCGAATAAGGATATTTTAGCAGTTACTATGCAGGCACTATCTGTGCCTTTGCACTGGTTTTGGTTTTGTTTGTGGGGTTTATAGTTGGGCATGGCTTATATTTGAACAGATTGGCTTAGATCCTAACATCTCTTGCATAAATAAGGGAGAGCTCATGTTCACAGAAGCTGGATATTCTGTTTTATCTTTCCCTATCCAGCTTCCTGGCACATTTAGGAATGCTCTGGGTTACAGTACAGGCAGCTGTGAATGAAAGGGGAAGTTAGATTCTTTTCTGTTCAACAAATGTCTTAGAATGGTGATATTTGGCTATTATTGTTCTACAGCTGCTCCACCCTTGTAAGCACTTTATTCTTTTACTATGGAGTAGCCCACCAAACCAAAGCACTAACTGTTCTGAACATGAGGTTGAGACCAACCCACGTCGGTCTCCTGTTGAAATCAGTCAGACTCATTATCATGAATCAGCACTCCTCATCTTGGTTCAGTGGGGCCAAAAATACAGCAAACTTCATTGTATTTCAACTCCTGGATTACCTGGCTGGGTGAGCCAGTTTGCCCTGCCTTCCATTCCCTTTGAATGAAAATATCCCTGGTCCCTTCCCTGTTACTGACCACATTGAACTCTTTCTCATGGCTTATCTGGATCTTTACCATAGGCCTGAGCTGCCACAAACTTATTATCTACTCACAGCCTCATTGCCGTGTTATGAGATTTGCATTGCTCCATTCTAAACTTTATTCCTTAGATGTTTGTTTATCACTTACACAGAAATGTTCAGAAGAGGGAGTGTATTGGTTCCTGTTCAAATAAACCAAAGCAGAGGGAGCCAATCAGTTTACTGGTTGGTTTATCACACCTACCATTCACTGCACTAAGAACTCATGGGGTTTTGGGGCTTTTTTTACTTTTCAGTTGAACCATTTGAAGGTTTCTTTTCCTCGCTAAAGGTTCTCCAACCTCCATAGATAGCTTCTGATCCCTCTGAGCTTCCTTATGGAAAATTCTGTCTATGCATTTGAAGCCAATAAGGAGGACAGGCAGACTTGCGTAGGCAAATGTGGGACATTGCAAGGTATATTTGGGATTGTGCACAGGGTAGGGGGTTGAATTCTGATTAGCAATTAAAACTTCACAAAGACAATGTTCCATCAGTTTCTGGCTGTGATGAAGTAAGTCTGTTTCTGTGTTCGAAAAGGATATCTTAACATCCTTCCTTCCTTGCTTTGAATTGTTTTCCTTTATTTACTTACTAGATTTATATTCTACTTTTTCTAACAAGCAAAACCATTTGTTTTGCATCATCTCAGCAACATTATCTTCATGGTTGTGTGTGCATGGTTTAGCATTCTTTTGGGTTTATGTAAGTACACGAGCCACCTGTGTTCCCAAGAAGATGAAGATCTGTGCAAATTGTAACCAATGCTGAAGTAAACCCATTGAAAAGAAGGCGCTTAACAGAATTACAACAATCTGTATTACCACAGAATTTGCCTTTAAAAAGTATGCTGATAGGACTCCTTATTTTCTGAGTATATTTTTATTTTTCTAAGATAACTAATGAAGCTTTTATTTTTATGTCCTTCCTCATTGGGTCAGAAAAGGATTCTTGAGATGACTCACAAACGAACATCCAATAACACTGTTACCACCAACAACTACAATACAATAATAATGTTAATATCAGTGATATGAAATATTAACTAAGGCTATCACTGCACATTAAGGAATGGTTTCTGTTTTGCTATGCTGCCTCGTAAATTTGGTCAGTGAATACCAATGTATCTCCCCTGTTAAACCGGAGAGCTCAAACTATAGCTGGAATTTTATTAAGCTTAAGCTGCAGTTTTTGTAACCCATACTTACTTGGAAGTAATACCATTCGCACAAAAATTATTACTTTTAAGTAAGTATGGGTTGGATTGCATTGGGCTGCTAATGTTACTTTAAAGAAATTGCAGCCCATTGATAACACTCGTAGCTGCAGTATACTTTCCACTTTTTAGAAAAAAGTGCTGCATGCCATGCAAGATATATTGGTTTTTTTCCCAGTCTTCAGCCGCAGGGTCCCACTTGCCATCTTTTCTGAAAAGTGATGTATTCTTTACGGGCTGTTGCAGGGAATCACAAATGAGATCTTTGGACCAAAAAAGATCCCTCTGAAAGAAATTGGCAAAAGCTTAAATTCAAAAGTCTGGAATAGATATGAATTGATACTTCTTTTTGCTGTCTTATTATTGAGACTAATAATACAGAATAAATAAAACAAGTATTAAAAATAAAAGAACACAGTTTATAAAGCTACCATCTAGTTAAAAAAAGATAGAGTATTGGGGAAAGAATATCAAATATTACAAGGAGCCTGAATTGCTAAAAAAATCCTAAGGAACTGCCTAAATGCTACAAGAGAAGGAGCAACATGAATCCATGTGATAGCTGTGCTCATTTTGAGATTTAGAATGCTTGCAGACCAAGCTTTTTGGTACAGTTGCCATGATTCCAAGACAGAATTGGAGGTTGATTTGATGGTTTCAAGAAGTCATTGTCAGCCATTATAACTCCAGTGTTTTCCTATTGCTTATTTTTTCTTCCCACAAACAATCCATTAATCAGGGAAAGGTGTAAGAGCTGCACACTGCCTTCTGACTGGTGCCACCTCCCCCAACCAGGTGCCCTCCAGATGTTGTGGCCTCTGATTCACATTAGTCCTGTCAGTTTGGGTAATAGCCAGGAATGCTGTGAGTTGTAGTTCAAAACATTGCATAGGGCACCAGTTTGGGAAAGAGTGAATTGGTAGCTCTCGGAGCTGTCTATTTGGAAGCATGTTTAACAACAAATACAGTAACTACCCAGTTACTGAATAAACTGTAATGCAGATCTTTTCAGCACAAAGCGAAATAGTCCACTGCATAGCTGTGCTTGTGCGGGCAAGAAAATTTGGGCCGTTTTAAAATGTCTGTGATGAAACCATTATCATTGGGCAGTCTGCAAACATACAAGGGTTCTGTATTTTAATTTCAGTGACTATTATGCATAGCCATATATGGACTGGCTACCTTGAGTACAAGGTGTCCATTATGCAATTGCTCTGCTCCATCAGGGAATTTTGGGAAGATGTCATTGTCTTCCATTAGAAATCTTCCCACTCCTCTTGCCCCTGCCCATTTTCTCACCACAAACAAATGTTGAGATGGGAATAGCTAAGCGATGCCTTCGCCAGTTACTCCAGGAGCCACCTGTCTGAAAGAAGCCACTCTTAGAAACACTTACTTTGGGCAGCAGAGTAGTTCATTAAAATTGCAGTAACAGACCATCTCGCAACCTTTTCCCTCCCAAAAATGATCTTGAAGATGTCTGTCAATCGGCCGAAGACTGGCCACTCCCTCTGGGATATTATGGCAGTTGTGGTCTTTCAGTATTTTCCTGTAACACGAAAGGCGGCCAGATGGTGTCAGGTTGACTCCGAGCAGCATGTTTAGAAAAAGAAGAGTGGAGAGCATCTTCATTCTTTTATTCTTGCGATGCTGGTGAAGGAAAAGAAAGTGATTAGGAGACTTTTGGAATTTCTGGATTTCTTCCTTCATGGGGTGACAACTTGTAAGCTTTCTGTAAGCAATTAGGGATGACCTCTGGCAAGAGTTCTCTGCACTCTTTAGCCAGTCCCTTGGAAGGGAAGAGGAGGGAAAAGATGAGTCAGTGGCAGATCGAGAGGGGAAGGGAGCCCAGTGACAATAATCTCCAGAATGTAGTCCTCAAATGAAATGAAGTTTCCTATCCTTGCTTTAAATCAGTGGGTCTTTTAACTACTTGATACTTCTCAAGAGTTTGCATTTCAGCTGTTAGAAACAGCATTTCCACAATTATGCAAAGGTCTCTTAAAGAATTCTGTAGATTAAGATCAGGAAGAAACTAGTGAATTTATCTGAATGCTTGGAGAAATGGTTGCAGCAGCTCATACCAGCAAATGTTCAGAGACTGGAGCTCAGAGATGGTTTAATTGGAAATGTGTTGCTTGCAAAACCATGACTCGTGACTCAAGTGAGTTCCCAGGTCCTAATTCTGCCACAAAGAGGGCTTTAAAACTCTTTCATATCTCAGTGGCTAAAGTAGCAGAGCTTTGCAAGACATTTAGAGAAACCCTGGACTTTGTGGAAGCCAGTATCGGTGAGCTGCTCTTTTTCTGAGCTACTTTTCTCATTTCTTCTATCTTTGCCTTTTCTTCAACCAACATTGAATCTAAACTGGGTTGAAACCCTTTAACTCTCAGCTTTCCTTCATCAGACCTTAGTAATCTAGTGAGGCAGTGCTGCATCTTCTTTTGTGATCCTAGAAGTGCCCGCCTGGAGCAGCTTTTATTGCAGTGGTGTGAGCAGCTCAGCATCCTACAATCTGCTGCATGTGACGACACAGTGCTTGCTGTGCAGGCCGCAGTTGCGTGTGCCTTGCATTGACCATTATCAGGTCAACATGCTGCTAGATGGTAGAATGGGATCCATGACCATGCCCAGTTGCGTGCCAGTGCATTGTATCAGTCCTTTAGGCAGCATTTTCTCAGTTATATATCCAGTCATCCTCTGGCTTTTTGGGGCTCTGAATTGGAGTAATCCAATTTTTCCCTTGTTAAGACTCTTCAATTTCTGACCTTTTCTTCTTGAATGCAGTGCTTTCAATTGGAGTTAGGAAACCTCAAACAGGACCAGGAGCCTATCTGGTCCTCCAGGTTTCCTAAATGGCTATTCTGCTTTCCTCCCCTCATTTGCCAGCTTCCTAGTGCTTTACTTCATTTGAAAAGGTTGCAATCCCTCTTCTAAGGCTTCATTACTGGCATTAGGTTTAAGCTAAAACATGCTGGTATTTTGGCTGCAAACCCCTTTGCTTTTGGTCCTACCACCACCAGCCTGTGCTCAAGTGTTTTTCCAAAATGGAATTTGGCCCTTGGCCTAAAAGAGAGTGGTGTTCCTGGCCACATTCAACATGCTTTGTGTCTTTGTGGTTGCTTTAATCAAAGTATCATGCTAACAAAGATTTTAGAATTTTTCTTATAGCCAGGATCACTACCTTTGAACTTGCTATACTGATTTGGGTTATTTTAAAGCCCACTGCCATGCACACAAGGACCAGATATAGTAGTATCGCCTCCTTTAGAGAGCCGGGGGAACCTCCCACCGGGGATTTACTTCCTCTGTTCCATGGGTTACAGAGGACAGCCAAAGGCAAGAATCCAAATCTAAGTTAAACAGATTTATGCCCATTGCAATCAACAGACTCAGTCACTCTACTTTCTGTTGTATTGTGGCCAGAGTCAACAGGAGTGCTAGCATTTAAAAAAAACCCTTAATATTATAAAAATGCTTTGATGATACCATAGACTGTATTAAATTATTTCACTTTCCATTTTAAACATAAAGCCAGTGCCATATATTCTCTGATGATCTTAGCTGTGATTCTTGATCTTTTTCTAAAAATACCTTGAAGACACTTTTAGGAAGCAATCCTATGCCCCCTAGGGAGCATCTGAGAGGCCCCAGGATTTTTCAGATTCCTAGATCAGAGCTCCAAGATAATGTTCAGAGCTCAGAGTTAGGAATCAGAGCTCTTCTCCCTCACAGCAGGTGTGGAAAGAGCCAAGAGGTGGGACTGCTTTCTGAGGTCAAGAAGGTGACCATAGGGAGAGGGGGCTTAGAGGTGGGGGGGGGAGCAGGCAGACAAAGCCAGTATAGCGGATATCCTAAAGTTGCTTCTCCTTTATTTCTTTCTCCTCTGACATGCCCTAGGGAGCCTTGTGAAAAAGCCCTCCTAATGAAAATGCAGAGTGGGAGGACAGAGAGGTAAAGATGGCCTTCACTGCTGCTTACACTCAGCACTGCATGTCCATGAAACTCTGTGTTCAGAGGCTTACATGCATCCATTTGGATGGCACCCTTAATCTCCAAAACAGGACTGGCAACTTGTAGCTCGCTGAGTGCTTTGGTCTACAAATCTTATGAGCGTTAGCCAGCATCGCCAGCGGTGACCAGTGATGGGAGCCGTGGCCCTCAGATATGTTGGTCTGCTGCTGGTTTAAAGCAATAATAAGGTAAATCACATTTCAATATACACTTTCTTGGTCAAGCTAGTGGCTTGGATGCAGCCTTAGTGTTACTTGATTTCATTGATTTAAGTTAGTCATTGACTTCAGCGGGTACTATGCCTGACTCCCACTCAACAGGTAAGCATTTTAAATATTTTTGTGTGTATTGGAGCCTATGAGTATGGCTTTAAATATTTAGGATGGTGATCACATGTTGTCAGTTCTTTTTTTATCAGATCACTAGAAAACCTAAGATGCATGTCCCACTGTGTTGTGCATTAGAACTAGAGGTCCCAAGTAAGATTTTGAGGTCCTGCTCATTTTGTCTTTTACTATGTTTGCATCTCTCCTCAGGGCTGAGATGTAAATATGTTGAAAAAGTGTCCATGTTTAAAGAGTTTTACTCTAACAACTGCTTTAAATGGCTGAATATGGATGAGCATATATTATACAGGTAATATATGGCTTCAAAAGACATGATGCTTTTAAGGCTCATACATGTAAAGATATATCTTTAGGAATGATTGAAGATTCATCTGTGCAATTCTTATGCAAAATGACTTGTTTGCACCTTTTGGACTAATGTGCAAATTGAAAATTAATTAGACATCTACCTGATTTTGAATTTCTCTGAATGTTTTCAGCAGTTCATAAGTAGAAAATACATCTTTACATAAGCATTTTGAGATAAAATATGAAAGTAATTGCTATTTTGAGGTAAAATACACATGCAAATATGTATTTATTTATGTTTCGAGAGATGATTTCTAATTGTCAAGATTAATGTGAACAGTTACGTATAAAAGTATGGCAAAATGATACAAGCCATCAGACTACACCTAATCCACATATATGAAGATGAGGTGTATTACTGTAAGGAATGACTTAAAAAAACCCTACACACCTATCACAGAGTTTTAGGAAGAGAACTCAGCCGATCTCTACAATCTGTAATTTAGAGAATCGGCAACTGAGCATTATTCACATTTCTTCATTGTCCACACTCATATTCTAGATCTCATCTTACTATCCAAGTGCCTGGCCTTTATTCTGGAGTACATTTCATGACCCAAACTTTGACTTATATGTCTAAAGGCTTTCCTAGTAACAACGGTTTCTTGGTCTGTATGTACCAACAACCAGCTTTCAAGGTGGTGCAGAAATAACTTAGCAATTATGAAGTTCTTTCTAGTGATCAGGGTTTTAGTTTTCTTTCCAGTCTAAAGCATTTTGATACAAATATACCAATAAGTATTTTAATATATTGAATGCCACTTTGCAAGAATTTGTTCAATAATAAACAAATTCAGTGAACTCTAATTTCTAAAAATTGAATGTATCAGCTTTCCCTTTAATTTATCAAGACAGACAGTACATTATGTGTGATGGTGAGGACAGCAGCTAATCCACTAAGGATGGGACTCCATGAATTGCCTCTTTGTACAGACCATCAATACTGCAATTCTTTACAAGAGCTAGGCTTTTAAAATGTATATGAAACTCCATTTAATTTAATTAGAGCAACCAGAATATTTGTATATCCTGAAATCAGTCCTGCTGCACTTTTGCGTCACAATAATGTTCAGCACAACATTCGCTCTGTCACATTTATTGCATGTAAAGTTCTACATTTCGTGCATTGCCTTTCCTTGGCAGTCGAGTCAGGGCTGTTAAATTATTATTTCTGCTCCCATATCCACCACCTAGTGAAGCGCAACAGCCTATTTAGCATGTAGCTTTAGTTTTAGCTCTTCCAGTCAACCTGAAGGGAGCTGATTCATTTGGATAATTTGAAAGAAGAGGGGAGACGTACCTGATTTGTTTGCTTCTGTTTCTTGCCTCCTTGGCACTTGTGTCTTTCCAAATGCTCAAGCAGAGTGAGAGCTGAGTTAAAGGGAGGGGAGGAAATGCTATCCTAAGGGGACGTCCTGGAGAAATAGCCCTTTGTTTGTCCGGGCTCTTACTTGCTAGTGGCAGACCGGCTCCTCTGTCCAGCCAGGGGCCGGACTTCGTAAATGCCCTCTTTAGTTCACATCCTGCATTGACAAGCGAGACGTGAAGAAGCCCTTTTCCAACAGAAAACAGTGCTTGGGATTGCAAGTGAATAGAAAACATGCATGTTTGTGGCAAGGCAAGAGAAAGGCTGGGGAGGATGTTAGAACCACACTTGACTTGTTTGCTGCACAGAGAAATCGACTCAGGGGTAAATCCAACCAGATTCCATAGGGCAATACTGGTGAAGAAGTGTGCATAGGCCTGCATGCTTTGGAGTCCTATGATCTGGACAATTGTTTCATGCAATTGTCTTTGTCATCATGAGCAGTGTGTGGATACGGAGCTCACAATTCCTCTCTCTCACACACAGGGCCCAATTGTCATCCTTGTTGCAGCATGGTGGGCAGGGGGGCTTATAACATGATGGGCATGATGCCTGTGACCATGGCTCCACACTGCACCCCTCAGAGAGGCCGGGGCCACTGCCATTTATTTATTTATTAAATAAATTGTAAATTTATTCTATGCCACTAAATTGGCCCAAGGACCCTTTTTTGAGCCCCTGTTGGCGTAATACAGAATGAGCAAATGCCAAAACAGGGTTGAACTGATAGAAACCGGTGTGTTTTGAAAGTTTACATTTAACCAATCAGCACTTTTAACACAAAAAGATACAGTCCAATAATTTGAAATAAACATTATTTAGCAAGTGCTTGCTTAGCTATTCTCAGTGCAATTGACCAATTATTACGGGGAAATGTAGTTTTCTTGCAGTGTCATTGTTTATATGACAAAACGCAGCAAGGCCATTGGAATGATCTTGTCCAGTAGCTTGACTGGAAGTAATTCTTGACCTTCTTCAGCACATCGAAAGTTGAGGCCTCCATGAATGCGAGCCTTGGGCCAAATGGTCCTCCCAGCCAGGAAGACCGTTTGTGGCAGCCGCTACTCATATATATTGGAGCATTTTCTCCTTATGAGGGTATGGATTGTGGAGGCTGCATGGCGATCCTCTCTTTTAGTGCTTTTGAGCCCGTCCTTTGGCTTTCCAGAGG